CTCCCTCCTTCCCTTCATCAATCCGCCAATGCGCGAAGAGGCAGATGTGAAGCGGGCAACTCTGCCTCCGCCGCCAGAGATCGAAAAAAGCAATGGGCGCGAAGCAGCGTCTCTGATCAGAACGCCAGAGCTGCACGCTATCTGGCAGGAGAGCGGGCGCCAACGCACATCCAGTCCTCCTCTTCCTCCTCTTCCTCCTCCTCCTTCACGTCCTCCTGCGCCTGTATTAAATAACTCATTCCTGTCGCACCCCGAGGTCGTTCGAAAGGGCTGGCCGGGCGTTCCGCCTGAGACATTCTCACCATTTACGACCCTGAAGATTGGAATTTGCAGCAGCTTCGCAGCTGGAGGGCAGGTGGTGTTCAAAACGTGACTCTCGCCTTAGCGCCGCGGACATTCGCTTTCAAAGTTTGGGACAGCTTCACGGATACAGGGCGGGTGGTTTTCAAAATGTGGCTCGCGCAAAAGCATTCAAGAGTTCCACGGATGGAGGGCGAGTCGTTTTCAACATGTGGCTCTCATCTTAGCGCCGATCCTTCGCTTCAAACAATTGCAAGGAGTTCAACGAATGGAAAGCGGTTCCTGTTCAAAGTGTGGCTCTAGGCTTAGCGCCGCTAAGACGTGTTTAAGAGTTCACAGTTGAAGTATCCTCATGGCTAACATTCCAAAATGATGTGTTGGCACGATGTCGGACTGTCAGGGCCCAACAGTTACGTTGATTAGTGGCGTTGAAATCTCAGAAATGGTGTTCTGGCACAGTTCAGGATCGTCAAAACGCAGCAGCAACAGTGATTCGCGGAGTCGAAGTCCTATGAATGGTGTTCTGGCGCATCTCGAGATGTTTAGACGGTTGTCTTCCAACAAGACACTTCCCGCAGCAAAAATGGACCCTTGCTGGGGCCTGCGAAGAGGACCTTGGAGGGAGAACTGATTGCAATATAGTCGATGAGTCTTGGGTCTACATTGGTCCTCCTCCCCCTTCTCCTCCTCCTCCTCCTCCTCCTCCTCCTCCTCCTCCTCCTCCTCCTCCTCCTCCTCCTCCTCCTCCTCCTCCTCCTCCTCCTCCTCCTCCTCCTCTCGTCCTCCTCCTCCCCCTCGTCCTCCTCCTCCTTCACCTTCACATCCTCCTTCACACCCCCGATGAACTCCTCCTGCTCCGTCATGCTCCTCCATCGACCGTCCTCGATCATCATCATCATCATCATCATCATCATCATCATCATCATCATCATGATCATCATCATCATCATCATCATCATCATCATCATCATCATCATCATCATCATCAGCACCATCATCATCATCATCACCATCATCATCAGCATCATCATCACCATCATCATCATTCTCACCATCAGCATCATCATCGTCAGCATCATCGCCATCATCATCATCATCATCAGCATCAGCAGCAGCAACATAATCAACATCAGCAGTACCAGCATCATCATCATCATGAACAGCATCGTCATCATCAGCATCACCAGCATCATCATCAGCATCAGCATCACCATCATCATCAGCATCACCAATATCACATCAACATCAACATAAGCATCAACATCATCCGAAGCAGCAGCAACATGATCATCATCATCAGCAGCAGCGGCATCATCAGCACCAGCACCGGCACCAGCACCAGCATCAGCATCAGCATAAGCATTAGCATCATCATCATCATCTTCATCATCATGACCTGATCATTATCATCATCAGCAGCAGCATCATCAGTATCATCATCAGCATCATGATCATCATCATCGTCATCATCAGTATCAGCATCAACATCAGCATCTTCTTCCATGCCAGTACAATCGCAAGCGATTCGGCAGCACACGCATGCACATTCAGCCGCGCCTGTCATTCTTCACGTGAACTTCAAGCCAAGCTTCATACGTACAAGCGAACGAACATTCGTCTTCAACACAAGCCTAAGATCTCGAGGACGGAAAAATTGTTGGAGAAATCGGGTGTCGTGTGCGTGGCCAAGAAGTGCGTCAGCTCGTCGCGACCAGATACACGTGCGCAGAAATACAGCACACACCAAAGTGCAGCCTCCAGCTCAGCAGCAGTGACGGTAGCACGGCTATCCAAAACGAAACTCATGTCAACCACCCTTACCCATTCAGACGGGTCGTCGTAAACGATGTCCTTTGCACCATACAAGACCCATCCGCCACCGCTTCCACTTGTAGTGTGGCTGCCATCAAAATGAGCCCGGTAATATTGGAATACCTGCACATCACCGGCCACGGTGGCATATTCAGTATGTGTGTAAGTATGCATGCCAGCCATCGCATCAGCCTCCTGGTTGAGCTCGCGAAAGACATGACGACACCAATCGGATTGCACCTGCCGGGGTTGGAAAGAATGGTCTCTTGACAACATCATCATCATCATCATGAGCAGCATCATCATCATCATCATCATCAGCATCATCAGCATCATCATCAGACTCAGCATCAGCATCATCATCGGCAGCAGCATCATCAGCATCAGCACTATGACCATCATCATCAGCATCATCAGCACCATCAGCATCAGCAGCAGCAGCATCATCATTATCATCGTTATCATCGTCAACATCATCGTCAACATCATCATCATCATCATCATCATCATCATCATCATCATCATCATCATCATCATCATCATCATCATCATCATCATCATCCGCAGCAGCATCATCATCGGCATCATCATCATCAGCATCATCATGATCGTCATTACCCACAACATTATCAGAATAAACCTCATAATCATCGTCGCCATCAGTATCCTCGTCACCACCCCCATCACCATCGCCGTCAACACCACCGACCCCATCATCATCAGCAGCATCATCATCAGAATCATCATCAGCACATCGTCATCATCATAATCGTCATCGGCATCACCACCAGCATCATCGTCATCACCAGAATCGTCATTGCCATCGTCATAGGAGTCGTCATCATCACCAGCATAAACACCATCATCATCGCCATTCGCATCGGTATCAGCCTCATCATCATCAGCATCATCGTCATCACCATCGCCATCAGCAGCATCATCATCGTCATCGTCATCATCATCAGCATCATCTTCCCTTAGGGCAACGCACGATCATCGTAAAAAATCTGATTCGTGGCAGCCCGGTCGTTTTCAAAACGTGATTCTCGCCTTAGCGCCGTGCACGTTCGCAACAGGTTTTAGCATCTTTAAGGATGGAGACTGGGGGGGCGGGAGGGGGGGGGGGGGGGGCAAAATGTGGATCTCACCTTCGCGCCGCGCAAATTCGTCGCCGTAAAGTTCGCAACCTTTACATGACTTGAACCCAGGTGGTTTTCAAGAGTGGCCCTCACCTTAGCGCAGCTCCCATTCGTAAAAAAAGGTTACACCGGCTTCAAGGATGAAAGCTGGTCATGTTCAAAATGCGGCTCTCGCCTTAGCGCCGCACAGGTTCGTCGAAAAAAATGCATAGCTTCAGGGATGGAGGCCGGTTCCGTTTCATAGTGTGGCTCTCGACCTGGCGTCGCACACGTTGGTGTTATGAGATGTTGCATAAGTTTCACGGTTGGAGTGGGGGTCGTTTCCAACATGGGGCTCTCGCCAGAGCGCCGCGCAAATTCGTCGTAAACGTTCACAACAGCTACAAATATCGAGCGCAGGTGTTTTCAAAATGTGACTCTCACCTTAGCGCCACTCGCATTCGTATTCAAAGATTGCAACAATCTCGAAGATAAGGACGGATCATTTCCAAAGTGTTGCTCTCGCCTTGTCGCCGCTTACGTTTGTCTTAAGATATGGCACCGCTTCAAAGGTTGAGGCTGATTGCTTTTCAAAGTGCGAGTCTGGCCTTAGCGCCGCGCACCTTTGTTTTCTCAGAGTTGGGGTCGGGATTGATTCCAAGATGGGACTCTCGCCCGGGCGCCGCGAACAGTCGTCTTAAAATGCTGCAACACATTCAAGGATAATGAAGCGGATAAAAATAAGGCTGTCGCTTCAGGGCAGCGCCAATTCGCATTCAAACACTGCAGCGCTCACAGTAATGGAGCACAGCACGTGTTCAAAGTAGTGTCTCGCCTCGCCGAGACGCCGCGCACATTCGTCTTCAACGCTTCCAACTCTTCGATTGATGGAGGACGGTTCTTTTTCATCATGGGGCTCTCGCATGAGACTTCGCAACATGGACAGACCCGCAACTTCAACGTAGGAAGCTCCTTCTCACAGTTGGGCTCTCGCTGGAGACTTCCAGAACGTCCCTGACCACGGGCGGAAATTTGCGCCACCGTTATACGGGTGGGGGGGGGCGGTCCTTTTTCGAAATGGGGATCTCTCTGGACACCTCGTTGAACTCTATGATGCTATGGATTCGCAGTCCTGGTTACGCGCGAAAGAGATGCAGGGCAGCTCCTCTTCAAGACGGGGCCCCCACTGGAATGGCAGGGCCACGGGAGCTGGTCTTTCAAGGGGGCGCCTCTTGCAGCAAGCGGGAAAAACGTGCAAAGACGCATGATGAGCGGACTCGGGACGGAAGGGTGAACTGCAGCATCGCTGTTGCATCCTGAGCTTGCGCTGGTTATCGTCCTCGGGTATCGTCCTCTTCTTCCTATTGCCACCTCCTCCTGCCTCCCCCTCTTCATCATCTTCATCATCATCTTTATCCTCATCATCAGCAGCCATCATTATACGCAACATACAGGGTCATCAACAAACTCGTTATCAGCATCATCATCCTTCCTCCTCCTCCTCCTCCTCCTCCACCTCCTCATCCTTCTCCTTCTCCTTCTCCTTCTCCTCGTGTATAAAGCCGTGCGAAAAAAATCCTTGCGGCACAAATGCTCATCCTCTCCCTCCCACTCCTCATCCTGCTCCCACCTCCTCCCTCCCTCCTCCCACTCCTTGTGACACTTGCGACACATGAGGTGGAAAGTGGAGCTAGCCACACTCCGACAGAAATGCACTACTCCAGGCAGCCGCTGGAGGACGACAACCAAGACGGCGGGGGCCCCAGGGGCCTCGGAATCGGACAGGCCGCCGCTGGAGCGCAGGGTGATGGACCTCGGCGGGACGCGCGGCGGCGGCCGGGAACCAGCGGGCGGCGCGTCTGCTGGCTGGCGCGCGGGAGAGGGGGGGTCGGGCAAGCATGGAGGCAGCGAAGCGAAGCGAAGCGAAGCGCTCCTGTGGGGAGCGCAGCGCGGTGGCCCTTGGAGGAGCGGGCGGCGACGGCGGGATCCGCGGGCGCGGAGGGAGGGGGTCGGCTTCTGGAGGCGGCCAGGTAATGGGCACCAGCAGAACTGGCCAGCAGGGGGAGCAGGGGCAGACTCGACGTGCCGTGCCTCTGGAGGAGGCGGCCCAGAAGGGACAGGGATAGACAAGGGCTCCCAACTTCGCGCTTCGCGCTGCGCGAAGCGCGAAGTGCGAATAACGTCGCGCTCTCGCGCCGCCTCCCAGGGGAGAAGAGGAGGATGAGGAGGAAGCGGAGCCGAACCGCGAAGCGCGAATAACTTCGCGCCCTCTAGGGCGCCCTTAGATAGAGCGATGGAGTCTACACGTATCCACTGCTCCCTGGCCAGGCCCATCCTGAGCCCAGCAGCGGTGTACTCGCCAGGCCCTCCTGGCTTGGACAGGAGGGCGTCTACAGCTCCGAGGTCCAACGATAAGCACGGCCAGGGAGCAACGGATCTGTAGTTGTAGATCTCCTCGCCCGAAAGGAGCGATGTCTGCAGACACTTGTGCTTCGGCCACTCTTTCGCGGCTGAAACCAGTGGTGCCCCACCTGAGCCCCCAAACCAGCTCTCCAAGACGGGTTAGCATGTGGGGAGCGGGTCATGGAGGCAGGGCTAAACCTAAACGGTGTTTTTCGTTTTCGCTTTGTTTTCGTCTTCCCTCGTTTTGTCTTGAATGCGCCTTTGCCGCAAAGCGAAATCGAAACGAAAACGGCCCACGAAATCGCCAAAACACCGTTTAGGTCCAGCCCTGCATGGAGGAGAGGTGGTCCTGGAGGCTCGAGGACCGAAGCTTCGGGACGTCTCTCGCTTCTGCGGCGGGCCCCTCGTGGCCACGGCTGGCTCCGCCTCGACACTCTGGTCGGAGCGGAGTCCGGGTGAAGCTCCGGGCCCGGTGCTCGCGCCACAGAGCACGAAGGAAACGGGTCCTGGAGGAAAGGGAGCCCGAGAGTTTGTGTCGCAGTTGTCGGTGCTCTGGGGCTCTCTACGGGCCCTGGGACTGTCAAAGAACGGCTCGGCTCCTCCTCCTCCTCCTCCTCCTCCTCCTCCTCCTCCTCCTCCTGCTCCTGCTCCTGCTCCTCCTCCTGCTCCTGCTCCTGCTTCCCCTCCTCCTCCTCCTGCTCCTCCTCCCTCCTCCTCCTGCCTCCTCCTCCTCCTGCTCCTGCTCCTGCTCCCCCTCCTCCTCCTCCTGCTCCTCCTCCCTCCTCCCCCTCTTCCTCCTCCTCCCTCGTTCCTCCTCCTCCTCCTCCTCCTCCTCCTCCTCCTCCTCCTCCTCCTGCCTCACTCTTCCTCCGCCTCCTCCTCCATCACGGCTTCCTCTTCCTTCTCCTCCTCCCTTCCTCTTCCTGGGTCGGCTTATGCATCATTGAGTCCCCTTCCCGTCAGTCGGGAAGCCTGCTTGAGTGCTCCTCCTTTCCTCCGCACTAAGAAGGTGATCTCCACTTGCTGCGGGGGAAACTGATGGACGCATTCACCTCCGTTTGGGCCTCCCGTGGCGCCCTCTCGTGGCCATTGCCGAACGCATCTGGGATGGGGTCCACCCGAATTGGGCCTGAACAAATGGAGTCGGAGAATCGCACCGCCTCGCCAATGCGTCGGCGACGCATCGGCAACGTCGGCACGGAGGAAGTCGCGCTTCGGATCGAACCGCAACGCCGATGCATCGGCAATGCGGCGGGAACATCCGACACCATCTATTCCGACCATATAATGAACATAAATGCCAAGGGATGCTCGTTGATCCTCAGAACGTGCCTCGTGATGAGTGCCGAGAAAGTCTGCGTGGTATCGATGGAGATGAACGCGATAAACATACATTGGGCTAACCCACGTTCTGCGGATCATCGAGCTTCTGGGAAGGCTCCTTAGAAACTGAGGAGGCGCCTTAAAAATCCCCTGCTTTCAAAAAACACCACCACCCAGAGCCACATCCCCAATCAAGGGGCTCTCGACCACTTCCTGGGAAGCGATCTTTCTCCCCGGATCGCTTTGTTGGGCGGCCCTGGAGAACTTAAAGCGGTCCACACACAGAAACTAGGATCAGTCAGCATCGAATCGGCAAATCGGATCGAAGCGAAAGTTGCATCGGATCGGGCTGCATCGGCACGGAACCGAAATCGAATAGAATCGGCTGCGACAAGATGCAGAACAACGACATGCTAACATCGGGCCACATCGAATGGTCGGGATAGCGGAATCGAACCGGATCGGGCCAGCCGAAAATCGATATCGAATATGATCGATCGAATCGAACTGGGCACTGCCGAAACTGGTGGACAGACTCCTCCTTTGGAAAGCACGCGGGACGCGCACGACGGCACGCTGGTTTGCTGCCCCTGCGTGGGCTTTGCTTTGGTCTGCGGCGCTCCGATCTGCGCGCGAGGCGGAGGCCAGTTCCGTGCCAACTGGCGCCTGGCCCTGCTCCACGTCCTCTTCCTGCCTCATCATTGTCATGTTTCCCGTGCCCCTTCTCCTCCAACTGTTCATGCTTCTCCTCGCCCATCCCTCGTCCTTATAAACATCCCTGTCGCACTCCCAGACGTGTCCGTAGGGAGGATCGGGCGTTCCGCCTGAGACTTCTTCACCATTTACGACCCTGAAGATCGAAACGTAAAACGGTTTTACGACTAGAGGGTGGCTCGTTTCCAAAGTGCGGCTCTTGCCTTCGAGCAGCGTACATTCGTTTTGACAGTCTACAATGCTTGCAAGGATGGAAGAGGGCTCGCTTTCAAAAGGTGGTTCTCGCTTTATTGCCGCGCAGATTCGTCAAAGTTCGCAAAAGCTTCAAGGATGGAGGGCGGTCCCTGTTTAAAATGTGGTTCTCCGTTGGCGACGCGCACATCCGTCTCAAAAGTTTGAAGGTTGCAAACGGTTGGAGCCCCAGAAATTTTGCTCTGGCACGATTGAGGGTTGTCAGGACACAGCAGTCACTCAGTTTCGAGGTGAACTCCCAGGAATTGTGTTCTGGCACGATCCGAGATTGTCGGGTCACGTTGATTTGCGGCATTGAAACCCCAGGAATGGTCCTGGCACGATTGAGGATTCTCAGGCGGTTGTGTTCCAGTGGGGCACTTTCCGCAATGAAAGCACGGCCTTGCAGGGACCTCTCAAGAGGGTATTTGGAGGGGAAATTGCAACATCGTTGACGCGTCTTCGGTTTGCACTGGTCCTCCTCCTCCATCCCTCTTCCTCGTCATTCACTCTTCCATGTAGTAACCCGAGACGTGCCGGTATGGCGGGCCGGGCATTTCGCCTGAGACTTCCTCCGCATTTATGATCCTGAAGCTTGAAATTTGCAACAGGTTCATAGCTGATGGGCGAGTTATTCTCGTGGTGTGTAAGAGCTTCACACATGGGGGGCGGGTGGTTTAGCGCCGCGCACATTCGTGTCAGAAGCTTGCGGGAGTTTCTCAGATGGAGGGCAAGCTGTTTCTAACATGTGGTTCTCACCTTAGCGCCGCGCACATTCGTTTGAAAAGTATGTGCCAGCGTACGTAATCAAGAAGGCACGCGCGACTGGCGGAGCCAAACAGTCTCGGCTACAAAAGCGGGAATCGGCGACGCGGGTGCGCAGAAGTGGTTGCAATGGTTTTGGGCACGATTCAGGGTTGTCAGGTCGCAACAATCACGTTGATTCGCGGTGTTGGCGTCCTAGAAACGGTGTCATTGCACGAATCAGGACCGTCAGGTCTCCACATTAATGTTGATTCGTGGCGTTGAAATCCTAGGAATGGTGATTTGGCAATTGACAAGTATCTGGCAATTGCCTTCGAACGGGGCTCTTCCCGCAGTGCAAATAAATCCGTGTAGGAGCCTATGTCGAGGGAATTTGGATGGTGTATTGCAACATCGTTGATGAGTCCTGGGTGTACACTGGTCCTCCTCCTCCTCATCCTCCTCTCACCATCGTCATCATCGTCACCATGATCCTCATCATCGTCATCATCCTCATACCACATTGTCACCAGCGAGTTCAGTGACATCCTCCTCATTGTCGTCCCCTTCACACTCCCCTTCACACTCCGCCTGCTGGTCCCCCTCCCCCCCCATCCTCATCCCCCATCCTCCTTTCTCCCTGGAGGTCTCGCCACTTTCTCTGGGGCTGGCTTTGCATCCTGAGTCGATGTTTGCGGCCCTGGATCCCTCCAATGGCCAGAAATCATGAGAAGCCTCCCGTCATGATGTTGTTCCACGACGCGAGGAAACAGTGGTCAGGCAATGACATATGGGAGATCTCCTGGCCCCCGCAACTATGTCCGCACACCCCTAGTCCTCGCCCTAATCCTCCACGCCTGGTGATCTCCAGGCCATAAAATGGAATCTCTGGCGGACGTCGAAGAGGCGCAGCTGCTGGAAGGCATCGCGAGGCTAGAGCACCTCGAAGAACAAGCACTAGCGGCTTCCTCATCCTCCTCCTCCTCCACCTCCTCCTCCTCCTCCTCCTCCTCCTCCTCCTCCTCCTCCTACTCACTCCTCCTCCTCCTACTCACTCCACCCCGCTCCGCTGCTAACGGTGAGTATGGCGATCCCCTATTCCTGACTGTGTTGATGTTCGGCTGGACCACAAGAAAGGAGCAAGAGCAGGAGGAGGAGGAGGCGTGGGAGCAGGATAGAAAATGATCAGCAGCAGGATGAGGGAGTGGAGGAAGAGGCGCAGGAGGAGTAGCTGGAGCAGGAGGAGGAAGACAAGCAGGAGGGGGAACAGGGAGAGGAGCAGACAGGGGACAACGATGAGAAGTGTGTTGACGAGGCGGGGGAGGAGAGGGGGCGTTCCAAAACCAAAACTCTTCAATAACGCTAGGCCGAGACAATGGCATGCCACGCATGGGCGTTTGGGCGGCGGCGGCGTACGCATCCGGTCACCCTGCTGCTCCCGATTGCTGGCCAAGGTCTACGCCGGTCGAGCAAAACGAGGCCCTGGCTGCTTCTTGCCGGTGGACTTGTCTACCGCGCTGACGTTGACGATGCCGTTGGCGTCGATGTCGAATGTGACCTGTTGGAACCCCGCTCTTGCCTCAAGCGAGCGCAAGCCACAGTCCAACGGAAACTCAACGGCTTCTGCCCAGCACGGGCAAGTTTAGAAACATGATCCTTCCCGAAGGACTTCGTTAGAATATGTGTCTGCAGCCGCACGGAGCGCTTCTCCTCCCACTCCTCTCCCTCCATATTCTCTTACCCCATTGCCCCCCCTCCAGGCCCATTTCCCCTCCCCCATCTCCTTGTCCCTCCTCATCCTGCTTCCACTTCACTTCCCCCTCCTACACTTCCTCCCCTCCCGTATTGCGCGAATGATACGCAAGAGGTTCATCCCAAGTTCGTTATACAGAAGAATGTATCGCAGCCTGCGGAGCTGTTAGATGCAGAGAATGTCGGAGTCTCGGGAGCGCTGCTTTTCCAATGGAAAACCCATGATCTGAACCTGTGCCCATGCATCCCCCGCCCCCTCCATTCACCCTCAATGTCTCCTCCTCGACGTTCTCCCCCCTCCTCATCCCCCCCCTTCCTCCTCCTCTTCATCCTCCTCCACCTCCAAACCCCAACAACTCCTCCTTCTACTCCTCCTCCTCCTCCTCCTCCGTAGCCATTTTGGCTCAAGACTTATGCTTTGGCGGGCTGAGCCCGCATTGGCAAAAACGGATACCGCTAGTCCGCGGCAGCTAACTGTGTGTACGGAGGTCCCTCGGTCGAGGGGTTCGCGAGCCTCCAACCCGACGCCCCAGCCGACGCAGCCATGGCCCCTCCGCCTGAGAAGCAGGGTTGGCTTTGTCGCTTTTGTGTGCAGCGTTCTGGTGAACCTTGGGTCAATCCAGGGTACAAGATGTACTGTGCTGGGCGTGTCAAAGACGGATGTGGAGGGATGCACAAAGGAGCGTGTTCCCTTCGCAATGTGGAGCCCAAGGTCCCGTCGGTACGTAAGCCCAAGCCCGAGCGTTCCCCTCCATGGGCGACGGCATCGGACACGGCCAAGTTGCTCGCTCGGCTGCAGGCGGAGGTCGCCGAGCTCCGCAAGCAGAACGCCCAGAAGCCTCCCAGTGGTGTGCAGCCTGAGGTGCAGCTCGCTGAGCAGGGCAAGTCGGAGGATGACGAGGACGCTAAGATCATGTTGCAGGTGGCGGCTCAAGAGGGCATCCATGCGGCTTGCGTCGGCGTGCCAGGCATGGAGCAGGTGGCTGCCGATGCGCTGGCGGCCAAGGGCGCGTTGCTGGAGAAGCGGCGCTCCAAGCAGCCGCTGTGTGCGCAGACTCGGCAGTTGTCCACGAAGCTGCAGAATGAGACGTCTAAGTTGCAGAAGTTGGAGAAGGTTGCGTCTGCTAAGGCTGCTGAGCTCTCGCAGTTACAGAAGGACGCGGCAGAAGCTGAGTCTAAAGCAGCAGCCCAGAGGGTTGTCATCGTGGAGCTCGAGGGCCAGCTGCAGCAGCTGGGCAATTCTGCTCCACAGCCTCCTGATGGGGCTAAGCCTGCTGCTGGCGGGCGGATCGACACGTCGGTGCTGGACGCGTTGCTGGCAGCGGCTGGCGTCCACAGAGAGTTGCTCGTCGCGGTCAAGGCCAACCCGCTGGTGGACAAGCTGGTGGTACCTGTCCAAACGTCTGATGGGGGCGGGGGGTCCACTGGTTCTGATGGCGAGCCGTCCCGGAAGAGGCCGAAGCTCACGGAGCCTGACTTCGACGAGATGGAAGAGGACAAGTTGCGGGAAGGTCTCTCGGCAGTCGGCTTCGTCGGAGAGCTACCGTCAGAGGTTGAAGAGTTGCGGGCGATGGCCAAGAAAGCCTTCAGTGGCGCGACGGCCTGGAGCCCGTATTAATGGCTGGATGATCATGCTTGTGCTACGATGTTTATTGTCGTTCGCCATGATGATGTCTGGTACTTTCTCAAGTTCTTCTCTGCCTACTACCTCGACCTCGGGGGGTTCGGCATGCAGCGCTGGGAGTTCGGGGGCGACTGGTTCCTCGGCGCCGAGCGGTGCACTCACTGGGCCTGCTGTGCAGCAGGCTCAGCAGAGGTCGCCACATGTGCTACCTCCTCGTGGCGAGACATGGTCGACATGCGTCTCGTCTACTTCGATTGCAGACGCCAGCGGCTGTATGCACTGCTCACCACCCACGCCCTCTGTGGAATCGGGTGGCAGAGGGTACCAGCAGCCGCAAGCGATTCCCTCGCCCCCTGTGGAGCTCGTAGCAGTTTCGAAAAAAAAACGTGTCAGGACAGCCGCCTGCACAACTTTTACATACAAGTGTGCGTGGTGGCGACGAGAGGGTGGTCAAGGGCCTCATCACGACGGTGAACGTTTCGAGTGGCGGCCCTCTCATCAAGTTTTTAGCAGCTGGCCCGCCCAGCTCCATTATCGCGGTGCAGGAGCATCATGGCATCTTGTCTCGGCTGGGTTCGTTGCAAAATCAGGCGAAGGATCTCGGCTATCATGGAGTGTGGAGTGCTGCGGTGCCGTCAGATGGTGGTGGAACCTCTGGTGGCGTGGCTATCCTCACCAAGACGCACATCTCGGTTACGGCGGCGCCCTACTTCGACCAGGACATTGCGCCTGGGAGGCTTTGTGCTGCTCATGTTCATTGGGGAGTGCGCAATGGCATCGTAGTTGTCTCAGCCTATTCTCACGATTCGGTCGGACTCAATGACGAGAACGCGTTCATTCAGGCCCACTTGCAACACTACTTGCAGTTGCTGTCGGCTTTAAAGCTTGATTGGGTCTGCGTTGGTGACTTCAACATGAGCTCGGATGTGCTGATGACAGGTTGGAGCCAAGGGTTCCCAGGAGTCCACTGTGTGCCGCGTGAGAGTACTTGCGTAAAAGGTCAAGGTAGCATCATCGACTTCGGCATTGTGTGCAGCAATTTGGCTTTGCGTGTGGACCCGCCTTGGGTTGGCCAGGAGTCTGAGCTGTACCCACATCACCCTGTTCACTTTCCCTTGGCTGTGAAAGATGTTGAGGCGTGGGCTCGCCTGCCCGTGGAGCCTCGTGGCTGGGGGCCCGAGGCTCCGATTGGCTGTGCTTTCTTCCCGCGAACTCGCGAATGGGAACGCGCATTACATTGTGTTCTGACAGCTGAGGGCCAGGTGGGCCTACAGCGCGCTTGGGACCAGGTGTTGCATGGTATTGAATGTGAGCTTTCTGATCGATGGGGACACAGACATTTGGATCGTTCGTCGCATGGAGGCCGCGGGGGTGACGTTGCCTTTCGCATGGTGAAGCTAGAGTGGAAGCCCCCTCGGCGGAGAGTGTACCAGACCCCGCAGGTGGCGTCGCTGCAAGTGGCGGCACGCTGGCTCAGGCATGGTCGCTCTATGTGGCAGCAGGTCTGTGAGCTTGGGCAGAGGCTGATGGCGGCCAACGTGTTGCGCTCGGTCACTATTGGTCAGACTTCTCGTTTAGTTGGGCTGCTGTGCGAGCTGAATCAGTTATACTTGAAGATTGGTCGGGCGTCGGAGACGCTTGGCAAGCTGGATGTGGACCTGGCGCAGTTCTTGGCTCGTGGCATTGCTGTCTGGACAGACCCTGGGGCTGGACACGCGGTACAAAGCTTCCTGGATCGCGCTGAGGGCGCCAGGAAGAAGTTCGAGCGTGAGCAAGGGGCCAGTTGGCGTCCGTGGGCTCGTGATGCGTTAAGTGGAGGTGCTTCAATGGCGCATCGGTTTACCCGTGTTCATCCTTTGCAGGAGGTGCTGGACCAGATCACTCGGGCCAGCCCCCATCAACTAGTGCAGGGAGAGATGGATAAGTGGCAGAAGATCTGGACTGTGCATGGCCTGACGCAGTGTTCACGGCCATCCGACTTCAACGACTGGGACCACCTGCCCGAGATGTCCGTGGCCATGCTGCGGCTGGTCTGCCTGAAGTTCAAGGCGAAGACTGCAGTGGGTCAGTCGGGGATTGCTCCTCGAGCTTGTGGCACCTCTCGGATGCAGGCTGCATCGTGCTGTCCAATTTGTTTCAACGGTGCGAGATGTTGGGCTTCTGGCCAGACAATCGCATATTCACCACGCTGGTCAGGCTGCCGGCGGAAGGAGGCGGGTCTCGTCTCATTGCCTTGGTCCAGACGCTGCTTCGCGTTTGGGCTAAGGCCCGCAGCTTCAACAGTCGGCAGTGGGTTGCTCAGACAGACCTTCGTGATGCTTGGGGGGCTGGAGGCGTTGGTCGCACTTCGTCGGCGGCGGCGTTCGAGCATAACCTGATGGTGGAGGTCGCGCCGCTGCTCGGCTGGCACACGGCGACGGCGGCGGTGGACGCGTGGAAGGCCTACGAGTCCGCCAGCCCTGGCGAGCTGATCTGTGAAGCCCGCCACCGTGGTTTTCCTCTTCGGCTGGCCTGGATGGTGATCGAATACCATCGCCAGCCGAGGGTACTGAAGGCCTTCACCTCCTAGTCAGAGGCCTTTGTATCCTGGCAGGGCATGCTTGCAGGCTGTGCCCACTCCACCTCCCTCCTCACTCTCCTCACCCTGCGCTCTGTGCGGCGTGTCCGAGCGAGTGGCGTCGTGCCTCGTGCTTTGGTCGATGACCTCACGATTCAGTGGGTTGGGGAGGAGGCGGGTGGGATCTCTAAACTTTTTACTGCGCTGGCCAACTGAAGCTGATGTTAAACCTCTCGGGATCGTTCTCCAGGACTCGGCATCGGGGAAGTCTGGCTACGTGGTGGCCAATCGTAAGGCCCTGCGGGCCTCGAAACCCTGGGCCCGAGCGGTTCGGCTGGAAGCCAAGCGTAACATGCGCAACCTTGGTCATGAGCTCTCTGGGCGTGAGCGCAGGCGGCCGCTCACCCGACAGAGAATCTCTAAGCTAGGTCGTCGGATGAAGCGCGTTTACCCTCTGCAGAAGGTGGCGGGGACTCGTGTGTCCGTCCTGTGGCGCACTGGCCTGCTTCCAGGCGCTGGTCATTGCAGTGCAGTTTCTGTGACCACGGACGCCGAACTTCGGAAGTTGAGAGCTGCTGCGGGGGCTTTGGTTGGTGACAAGGGTCGTGGGGGGGGGGGGCCTGAC